AGAACCATGTTGTATTTGTTGTGAAATTTGATCGCCTTCATCAGATATGGCTGGTAGGTTTCAGCCTCCGGATGTGTTGACTTGTAACGCTTTAGTGCGTGTGCTAATTTATGTGGAGAGTCAAGCCTCGTGTCAACCGGATATATGTAGTAGTCTGAGTCATTATGTGGGTGATGGGAGTGGCTTCTTGTGACCATTGGGTGTGATGTTCATCCCACCTCGTAATATAATGGAGCTTTTTATCTATGTTAGGGGTCTCGGGGGGCTCTTGTGTCTGTTTTTCGTCTATTCACCTGCGTAAAGCCGTCGGGGACCTCATTCTCGTTGGTTCCTGAAAAAGCATGTTTAGGAATAGTTATGGTGTCCTTGGTATGATATCATCATTGGACGTGGAGGGATCAAGTGTAGTATCATACGGGGGATCAGAAACAATTTCATCATTTCCGTTAGGAGTTTCACTTAAAGTGGGTTGAACTTCCGTCATGGTTACCGCCTTTTTATAGGTAGCCATCATGGGTTCAACAAAGCATTTCGTAATTAGGGCATGTTTCACTTGACTGGCAGTGAATTCAAGATTTTTCAACAAGAGCAGGTGTGCTTGTAACTGATTCAGCACAACCAGATAAGCCAACCTTAGAGACATGGGCTATCAAAGTAGTACGGGCGTTAATATACTCAAGCGCAACAGAGTTGTCAGAAATCTGGGCATCAAAAACCTGGGTTTCAGGAGTGGCATCAAAAATCTTGGCGTTAACAGGAACATCAAAATTTGAAGCATTCGCATCAGCAGGGACAATCGGGTCACAAATTTGACCATCTAAAACAGCAGAATAAGCATTGTTGACAGCAAAAAAAAATTGATCAATGATGGTCATTTCAATAGGGGAACCAGTTTCAGTAACATCGGGGCACCAATGTTAGAAACAGCTAGATCATCACATGTAACACAGAGGGCACAATCATCAGGGGCAACAATAGTTTCAACAAGGGCAACCGGGGTTGCTGTATTAAGTGCAGCGGGGAGAACCTGGACAATATTGGTATTATTGCTAGTGACTCCAGTATCATGAACAACCAAGGGAGAAGTTTTTGAGGCATCAACGGTGTCAGAAACATTTTGATCCGTAGCACGAGTAACCTCATCCAGTTGTAGCATCATCGATTTAGGATCCATATTATTTGAACCCCGGGGGCATTTCATTTTGGGATGGTCAAACCGAGAGGAGATTGTACAGAAAACAGGTAGATTTTCGTACAAAACAGACTGAAAAAAAACTGTTTGGCCATTCCCTGTCCAAAATTTTTGGGGCAATTCTATGGAAACATCAATTTCAACACAGACTCTCGCTGTTGTGAGTCTAGAAAAATTTGTCGTGGGAGAATCTATACAAAGAGGTCTGTCCAATAGTCCAGTAATAGAAAATAATGCCCTAATATCATGAAAGTGAATTGGTAGCCCTTTAAAGGCTACCCAAATTGGAGTCAAAGGACAATCTCGATCAAAAGAAAATGAGGGCGTCCATCTGGTAATAGTCATCGAAAATCCAAAAAAATCCCAGATTTGTTTTAACCAAAAACGTTGGAAGTCAGAATTAGAAATAAAATTGATAAGAATCCTATTCGATTGAAGCAACCCGAAGGAATAAAACCTGGACGTCTTCTTCAGTAAAAGATACTGCAGGGAAACCTCTGAATCGACCAGGAGACTTAGGCCGGAAGTTCCAAGAAGTTAACTTCGGTGAAAAGGCACGACTGGGGATGCAGGCGACAGCTGGGGAGGGGTTCCTTTACCGCCGTAGCATAGGAGAATCCATTTCGAGCAGGCGCAGGGTCTGGTCCCTTCGCCGGCGGCATTCATACGGGGAGGGGTTCCTCTTGTCCACCCCATATGCAATATAATATATATATATATATATATATATATATATATATAATAGCTAAATCCATATAAATCCATGAAATCAAACATGAACAAAAATTAGAACCATACCTTGAGAATTTATTTGCATTAACACTTTAAGAAGCCATGTTTTAAATTTTTTTTGTTTTAAAAAATTAATAAAAAATAGTAAAACTCCATAAAAAAAATTAAAAAAATATGGATGCCTTTCCCACCGCCTGTACTACCTCCCTGCACCACCATCTCCGACCAGTGAAAAAATGTCATTTTTCCTAAAAACTGCCATTTTTCTGAAAATGCCAAAAACATGGCATATTTCTTTTTGACCATGCCAACATTTTCATTGTTTTCTGCCATTAATTTGGCATTATTAATGAACTTGTCATTTTTTCCCCTGGTGACTGGAGGTGATGGTGCAAAGGCGGCGGTGAATTTTATTTTATTTTTTTGAGTTTTTAATTTTTTAAAAAAAAATTAAATTTTTTTATTTTTTTTATTTTAAAAAAAATATTATCAAAATATTGTTATTAATTTTTTTAGTATTTTTTACAAATTTTTATTATTTTTTATTATTTTATTATGAATTAAAACATTTCAATAGCTATAAGGGTATATTTGTCCAAGACACACATAAATAGTCCTATGAAAACATAGTTTATATTTTGGTCCTATTTGTGAAAAGTGAGTGACTTTTAGTCCTATTTTGATAATTAACCCTTGTATCACTTTAGTGTAATATATTTAATTTGAACCGTCACCAAAAGAAATATATGGAGTATTATCCTAGTATCTACACTTTTATTATTTCATGAATAACCATTGTATTATTTATCTGATGGTAAACACATTTTAATTAATTACATATTAGTTCCCTTTTTTCCATCATTTGCAATGGAGCCAAAGATTCATTTTTTTGGCTTGAGATTATGATGGAATAAAACAAAATGGCTCACTAAACTGTCTGCGTTTCTTGGTTATGGAGCAGTAGTCAGTTCATGCAATTTTGGATGCGATTTTTACTATGGGTCATCCGGAAACAGTCTCTCTGTGCTTTAGTACAGGGGTAAGACTGCGTACATCTGACCCCCTCTTACCCCACCGTAGGTGGGAGCCTTTGCGGCACTGGGGTAAATGAAAATGAAATGACATATTAGGTCACTTTTATTGTTTCCAACATAAAGGACACACATCGTCCTCAAAACAATAACGTTCATCGTCCACAAGAACGAAAACAAGGAATTTACAACGGCTTCAAGAGCGGTAACAATCATCGACTACTAAACAAAACGCCAAATAACATCACCCGAAGAAACCAACTGACCACGCAACGGCCAGCTGCGAGAAAATGGCAAAATAACAACATCAACTACAGTGATCTCGCATCGACTAAAAGCATCAAGGCAACAATGATCTACTCTCTTTCACTTCGTCAGCATCTCAACTTAAAGAGTGTGGGACTCCTGATAGAGTATATGGATCCAGACCCCATGGTCCATATATTAAATACTCCCTCCGTCCCCTTTTAAATGTCCCGGAAGAGGGTGGCACGCAGGGGCGGATCTGGCAGGGGGGCCAGGGGGCCGGTGCCCCTGCTCCGGTCGTGCGAGCTAGGGTATAGGTATGGTTTGGAGTCCGCCGGACTGCACCGTTTCATTATTTCCGGCGAAGCTTGGGACCTCTATTTTTGCTTCTGACTTCCGCTGGACAGGACGATCGATGGAGGTGATTTTGTTTAAATGGCACGACGCCGTTTTGTATTCTGTGGGACAAAAAAAGGATTGGGCCAAGGCAGGTCCAACACGCAACAGCCCCAAACGAAGCAAAGAGCCCAAATCTGGGCATCCTGCCAAGGCAAGAAGGCTTGTTTTCCCATTTTTTCCCTGTGCGGCTGTGCTACTGTTTGATGTTATAGGTGATGATTGGTAATGGTACTACTATCCGGCATTCCCAAATTCCCAAACGCCCGCAGACCGCAACGGTATGTTCCGAGTTCCGATTTCCTATTTCTTCTATTTGAAATTAAATAAAATTTTGTATTTGTTTTAAAATTCATAGTTATGATTTGAAAAAGATGTTATATGTAGTCACAATGTAGTATAATTGTGTAAAATATATTGAATTAAATATAACGATTATGTGTTACTGTAATTTTTTGTGTTAATGTATTGTTTCATTTGTTTGTATTAATGAAGTATTTATAATAGATTAATAGTTCGACTTGAAATCTTGAATTAATTATTTGTTGTTTCAATATTTGTCATTAGGGGATGTCAATTGAGAAGTATTTTCCCCGGAAAAAAACACCAATAACTTTCGATTGTGTAGTCGGCTTTACGTAATAAAATGGGAGATGATTATCTTACTGATTGTGTAGTCTGCTACGTAGAAAGAGATGTGTTTAGACGCATCGATAATGAGGTTATTATCCAACATTTTCAGAACATGAAGACCTATAGGTTGGATTTAGCACCATTATGTTAACCCTTTTGATTAAATTTGGTATGTTTTGTTAGTGTAATTTGTTAAGACAAATTTATTATTAATGTCATGATTTACGTAAAGTGATTGTGCCCCTGCTTAATTTTTTCTCTAGTTCCGCCACTGGTGGCACGAGTTTTAAGAAAAGTAGGTTTGTATGGTTGATATCAATAGATAAAGTAAGAATAAAATAAGAATAAAGTAAGAATGATTTTGAGTCACACAAACTTTACCAAATAAGGTATGGGACAATTAAATAGGGACATACCAATATAGTAAAATGGGACATTTAAAAGGGGACGGAGGGAGTAGCAAAGTTGGCCCGACATTACGCATCACTATATTCATTTGGAAATTTTCACTAGCGGACACGCAATTGCAATTTGTAAATCAGTAAATGTATGAAACATGACATTAGTTAAAGCATCGTGCACCTAAATTAATCGAGGGAATGATATGAATCCATCATCATCATTTTCAAGAAAAAGAAACATGTAGAAAGGGTGGATTTGAATGCAATCCATCCATCTTATTATTATTCTTGGAATGACAGTCAAGTCACCCAAGACGTACTTGGCTACTTGCAACTATAAACGTACTCAATATTTTACTACTTATAAACATTCATATAAATTGTTACTACAACCAGCTATATATCACAACTCTCAATACAACCATACAACTAATTAATTAATCTGCTTCCATCACTGACCATTTTTACTCTTTTGAGAGCCAACGCCTATAGTACTTGCCATGGAAACAATCCGAAATTATCTATTATCTCCTCTTACACGACCTAACAATCTTCTATCCCCTTGGAGTATTGTCCCTCCCTCACCTCCCAACAAACCACATTGCCGCCCCATCCTAAAATCGCCCCCGCCGCCCCCGCCTCATCGTGTCTCTCCTCCACCACCATCATCGCCACCGCCACCTCATCGAGCTCCTCCTCTACCACCGCCACCACCACCATCCCCGCCACCACCTCGTAGAGCTCCACCACCACCATCCCCGCCGCCACCTCGTAGAGCTCCACCACCGCCATCGCCACCACCCCCCTCGTCAAACTCCACCACCACCATCGCCACCGCCACCTCGTAGAGCCCCACCACCACCATCGCTACCGCCACCATCCCCACCGCCACCTCGTAGAGCCCCACCACCACCATCGCTACCGCCACCATCCCCACCGCCACCTCGTAGAGCTCCACCACCACCATCCCCACCGCCACCTCGTAGAGCCCCCCCCACCGCCACCGCCACCTCGTAGAAGTCCGCCACCACCATCCCCACCGCCACCTCGTAGAGCTCCGCCACCACCATCCCCACCGCCACCTCGTAGAGCTCCACCACCACCACCACGCGCTCCAACCCGTCCACCTCCACCGCACATCCCAACCCCAACACCCTCACCACCTCATAGATTTTCTCCACCACCACCTCATATAGTTCCTCCACCCCCAACTCAGCCCTTTTCTCCACCACCACCGCCGCCTGCTCCCAATACCATCATCATCGTCTTTGCCTCACTCGGTGGACTGGTATTTCTAGCATTTCTCTGCGTGGCGATTTGCTGGTTTCTTAAGAAGCGAAAGAAGAGAGTGATTGAAGAAGAGGATGGGGTGAGAATATATGAACGTATAAGAGTGCGAAAAGACATTGTTGCAGGCCCAAAAGGAACAAAAGCAGGTGCCCTCTTAACCATTGATGATGAGATTGATACTGAGGAAGAAATGCGGAACACGAAAGTGGTAGGATATGGAGAAGGTTCAGGAGTCAGATCAGTCGAAAACCATCCTCAAGCAGCCACGGACATGGTCTCCACCATATATGATGATCATCATAATAAAAGCCATTAGCGATGATTTATTAATTATTATTCTCTGATCTTTAATAAACGTAATGTTATACATAAATAATCCACTGCAATCGATTATACGTAGTATAATTCTTGTTTGTGCATGTAGCAACCTAATTAGCATCTTTGAAATGAATTGTGATATCTGATTATTTCTTTACTCTAATGTATTAATAAAAATACATTTAGTACGTTTAAATAAATGTGATAAGCATGAATATATAATAAATTAAAGTTTCTATTGAAGCAACATTTGGGAGCATATACTATATACAACTTTAAATGGGTGCAGTGATATTCATGTCATATATTTGTGAAAATAAAATCTATCTATCTATCTATCTATCTATCTATATATATATATATATATATATATATATATATATATATATATATATATATATATATATATATATATATATATATATATATATATATATATATATATATATATATATATATATATATATATATATATATATATATATATATATAGCCTATTCAAGTACATGAAAGGGAAAAAATCTCCTAAAAACATGGTATATACGGAGTATGTGTCTAATGATTTAAAAAAAAAAACTCTCCTACACATTGGGACGACGGCTTTTGATCAAATGTGTTTAATGTACCTAGGGTGTTTTCTTAGAAAACGGGAATTATCAACAAGCAGAGCAAAAACACGGGAGTTTGATCGATTAGGGTTTCTAAGATTGAGGGATTCGGAAAGAGGGTTTCCGAATGAAATGATTGGGTGGGTTGGGAGGGGGTGGGTTGGCTGGGAGGGGAGGGGGTTGGCAAACATGTGTAAATCCCATTTATTTATTATTTAATACTCCGATCCAAATTGAAATGGGACTTATTTTATGGGACGGAGGGAGTATAACTTCTTCATTTGTACTCCAAATTTTACAAAAAATATATTGAAATTCTTAATTTTTTATGATCTTTCTGATGACACCAATATCTCATATATAAAATTTATTTTATATTTTTGAGGTTTCAAATGTAGAAAGTTTTCAAATCCAAATTTTTTCCTAAATAGATTCAAGTGCTAAAATTAGGATCACATTATTAACATAACTTTTTTTGCATGTTTCAATTATTTTAAAAATGATATTTTATTTTAGCACTTGGATCTATTATATTTAAGATAATTGTTGAAACTAAAAACTACATACGGTTGAAACTTCAATTTTGTTTTTAACTTTTTATATGAGATATTGCTGTCATATGAAAGATAATAAAAAAATTATGAATTTTGATATATATTTTATAAAAAATGGAGAACAAAAATAAAAGTTACATTACTTAATAAAACATGGGGTTTTATATTTTACCCAGCCTCCCACCCACTCCCCTACCCACGCGCCCCAGCCTTGGTTTTTTTGGATTTGGAAAATGGAATTCCGATTCCCTTGTTTTTGTCCAATTTTTTGAAGTCCGGTGTTTTGACATGTGTTGCAAAAAATCCCGTGTTTTGAGAATTTCCTCATGTACCTATAGCATATTCATTATACTCCTGTCGTTCCCCCATTGGGACGAGGGCTTTTGATCAACGAGGGGTTCCATCATTCTCGGATTTGAACGAGGGGTCCCATCGTTCTCGAACTCGGACGAGGGGTCCCGTCGTTCCCCCGGTTGGACCAAGGGTAGTAGTTTGGGAGGGTCTTGATTTGCTACTCATACATGTATTATTATAGAGATAAGTGATATATAGAGAGAAATGAGTGTGTATAATGAATATCACCCTTTTACATGACTTGCAAAGAGGAGTATTTATGAGGAAATTTGGGAATGTAGGTTGGGCTACTAAATTTGGGCCTAATAGGCCCAATTACATAAAATGGGCAATTAATTGATGGGTAATTCTATTCACAGCGTTGGAATTACTAAACACAGCCACTGAATTACCAAGATTAAATAAAAATAATCAAAATGTCTAAATTGTCCTTGTTGCTAACGATCGTTTAATTCATCGACATTAGCCTTATTATCATAAAGCTCGAGAACCAAGGAAGTGCAAGTATGCCATACGAGCAAACCAGAAACGCAAGCGTGCCCGAAGAAACATGAGAATCTCATGCACAGAAGGTTAGAGAAGAAAGAATTCAGAAACGTAGAAACCCTATAAATCTTTATTACCCTAGTAACCTAGTTCCATTCCAATCTTCATTTAGGGATATCAGAGAATAATTGTTCATTGATGTATAAAGAATAACCACATGAGGTGAATGTTCCATTAACCATGGCCTTCGTTATTTAATTCTAATTAAACTTTTCCCAGTCCCTAATTTTTCAGAAATTGCAATTCCTGAATTCCTCCAAGTAGAAGAGGAGTTTTGATGGTATCCTGAGCATGCAATGGATTCATAACACTAGAACAAGAACATATGGGAAAGAACAAAGAAGGTCTGCTACTGTAGTTAACTACTTAAGGTCTTGAATTACAGAAAAATTCAGAAAACTAGTTGACAACACACGATTAGATCACCAAGTATTTGGTATTTAGATAGGGATCTTGCTGCGTCGACGGAGAAATGAGTTAGATATCTTGGTGCCTGAACAGAGAACTCAAACAGGGTTTTGCTGCCTCAACGGAGAAATGAGTTGAGAAGTCTGAACCTAGCTATGAGTATGTGGATGCTACATGTTCCCGAAAGATGAATTGAGTCGGCGTTTAGTTACAACTTGCAAGGACATAATGGGAATTGTCAGAAAATGATACCAGTTACGAAATTATTTGTGTGTATTTAGCAAAAATGTGGCTGTGAATAGAATTACCCTTAGAGCATCTTCAATGCTAAAACGTTAACGGTGCATATGTGGCATGAGAAATAACCAATTAAAAAACAAACGGTAGAATATTTCTCTCCTTATTTGAAGGATCTTACATTATTTTGGTAAGGTTTTCTTCACAATGTCAAGCACAATGTCTAGATGTAGACATTGCGGTTGACATTGCAGACAAAAACTTACCAAAAATGCATAAGACCGTGAAAAGAAGGAGAGAGAAATGTAATAAAATTAATATTTTGTATCTATATCTCTCATGCCAGATGTGCACCGTGCACATTGTAGCATTGGAAATGCTCTTAATTGATACACATAAGCATTTAAAGTGCCTAATAATATAAATGCTATCAAGTAGACATATGTGGGCCGCTATCTAAATCAAATACGGAGCAGTTGCAAGTACGTGGGATCGGCCCACCATGTGCATGGTGCGCCGATCCCCATACGGTACCGTTTTTTCTCTTCACACTCTCCCAACAATCTAATGTTACGGAAGTTTTCTTTCCTTTTGCTCCAGGTTTTTACTTTCTTTCTCTTTATTTTTCTTTTCTATTTTCTTCAATTCTTTTCTCTTTTACATCAAAATACTAAAAGTTTATTTGTAAGTTTACTTATTTTTATCTTTAACTAATTAAATACAATTGAACTTATATTTTTCTCTATCAAATTATAACAAAAAAATTTTAATCCACATAAAATAAGTCTGTTGTATTTCATATACATTTTTTCTACTTTTTTATATTCAACTGAAATTACAATAGAATATATTTTTTCTGTAATATTTTTTATATTTCATGTTCATTAATTTTTTCTATAATATATTTCTTATCTCTTTGCAAAAAATAATATATTTCTTATCTCTTTGATATATTTTTAGTGTTTTTAAGACGTTAAATTTGTTTTTTTCAATTTAAATTTCATAAAACATGTAATTATATTACATTTTTCATATGTGCAGTGTGAGCTATGTTTATAGACAATTTATGGAATTACATGTGATAGTATATGAAGTTACACCTTCTTATAGGCTAGTTACGTCTTGTTGTGCATGAGTTACATCATCCTATGCGCGAGTTACATTTAGACTTGCCTCAACAAGCTATATTTTGAATACACCTAATTTAGATTTTTCATTAGTGCGAGTTACATTTTTTCATAACACGAGTTGCATCAAAAATGAATGCAAACAAAAATGATTTTTTTTAAAAAAAAATGATTTTTTGGCAAAAAAAATGAATATTTTTGGCAAAAAATATTATTTTTCTTTGAAACATTTTTGTGGCCTTAATACAAAAAAAACATATTAACTATTTACGTAAAAAAAATTAAGCAATTAGACTCCTTGTTTTCATTGTTTACATTTGATAGTATATGTAGTTACATCTTCTTATGCGCGAGTTACATTTTTTTATGCGTGAATTACATCTTCATATACGCGAGTTACATTTAGACTTACGTTAACAAGTTACATTTTGCATTCACCTAAGTTAGATTTTTCATCAACGTGGGTTACATTTTCTATAACATGAGTTACATCGCAACATAATGCTCTGCTATTGAAACAAAAGATTCATTTTTTGCAATACAAAAAAAATGGCAAAAATTGATTTCTTTGGCAAAAAACTGATTTTAAAAAAAAACTTTGTCTTCATTATTAAAAATAGAACATATTCACTATCTAAGTAAACACATGCTATTGAAACCAAAAAAAAAAGTTTTTTGCAAGAAAATATTGATTTTTTGGCAAAAAAAATGATTTTTTGGCAAAAAAAAAAGATTTTAAGGAAAAAACATTATTTATGGCCTTAATATTAAAAAACATATTCACTATTTACGTAAAGTAATTGAGCAATTAGACTCCTTGTTTTCCAGGAAATCAATGTTTTATTTCTTATGGTCCGTATCAGACAAGTTACATTTCGACTTGCCTGCAGTTACATTTTTTATCGACTTGAGTTACATTTCTTTACACGCGATTTACATCACTCTGTTACTGGACACTGAAAAAACAAAAAAGAAGTTATTATTCACGAGTGAACAGTAACACGCGTTTTTTTACATGTGGGAGCAACATGCTCACCGTGGACTGCTCCCACCGTATAGCAACAGATGAATCCATATACACTATCACACCCATTTCCTGTGAAGACAAAAGGCTTAAAATCTACCGTGTTTCAAGTTGTAATATTTCAGTTGTAATATTGCAATTACATCTTGTAAACCGTAATATTTCAAGACAAAAGGCTTAAAATCTACGGTTGTTTCAAGTTTTATTTTTTTAAATAAACAACGGTTGTAGCTTAACGTTTTAGATTTCAATTTTCAAATCATAGATAAATAGAAACGAATCACTTGATAATAATAGTATTATTATAAAAGAAAAAAGAAAAAAATGACTCTAGTAATTTTAGTAACTATAATTGTATTCAAATGTTAAAAGGGTTTTGCATGAATATTACTAGAAAAAAGTTAATGGACAAAAAATTGACATTTTCTGTTAGTTTCCAAAAATATGACTAATAAACTCCTACATGTCTAAAGTACCCTTCATAAGTAAAAGCTGCATCCAGATAAGTTGACAACTATATGCCGTCAAATTAAATTGCAAGCCGTCAAATTGCAAGTGTGTACCAATTCACTTAATAACATACTTCGTGTCTCCGTATATTGCAATCTCTAAAAATTAATGTTTTTCTATTTCAATGTTATTTCTCAAGATACATATCTTAAATATTTAAATTACTAGTTTTTCACTCGTGCGTTTCACGGGGTTAGCAATTATGAAATTATTTATAAATCACTTGAGTTTTCCCAGTCAATTAATTAAATTAAAATTCACATTGTTGACTATATGCATCAATATAGTAGTCCTACAAAAAAGCAACATGTATAAAAAGTGAGTTTACAATTATGATTCTTGCAACTTATCCTCAAGCATACGGGGACTTAATAAATACATCGATAAGAACATAATAAAGATGTTAATACTAAAACAATCAAAAGAAATTTTTGTAATATAGCAACAATTTACATCCAACATAAATATATTTCAAGAAGGTGAGATTTGTACAAAATTGATCTCATAATTCCTGAATAAGTTGATGGTTCTAGTGATAAATCTCATACACTCTCGAAGCTGCAAGAAGTGTAACGGAAAAGAAAAACTGATATGTTAGTTGAATAGAGTAAAGTAGTTGAGTCAGATACCTTGCTAATGGCCTCTTCCCTTAAACAACAACCCAATCATGAGATGTTGGAAAACCAATAAGTCCATGAGCACCACCTGGCAAAAAATCTGCACGCAAATCGGCATCACATATCTTATACCTGTCAAATACACCTTTGAAAATCGTGGCAGTTCAACCTAGTTGGGACGTCTAGGCACAATGACTTTTTGCTTTGAATTTTCTCCTGGACAGCAAAGTCATCAAACTTCTTTTGCCTGCAAGGTGACTGTCGGACATGTCTCACAATAGTACGCACTCTCTCGATCGATTCATTCAATTCTTTCAGTCCATCTTTCACAACAAGGTTAACGATATGAGCAACACATCTAACATGCAAATATTTACCATCTAATATCGCAGTACCCCAATTAATCAATCTTCTCTTCAAATAAGCTACTGTAGTGTCATTCGAAGAAGCGTTATCAACAGTAATCGTAAAAATCTTGTTTATTCCCCAATCAAGTAAGCACTTTTCAATCAAAAGACCAACTTCATCTCCTTTGTGAGAAGGGCATGGAATAAAGTTAAGAATCACTTTTTTGACTTTCCAATCACTATCATAATCATAATCATAATCATAATCATAATCATAATCATAATCATAATCATAATCATAATCATAATCATAATCATAATCATAATCATAATCATAATCATAATCATAATCATAATCATAATCATAATCATAATCATAATAACAATAACAATAACAATAATAATCATAATAATAATAATAATAATAATAATAATAACAATAACAATAACAATAACAATAACAATAACAATAACAATAACAATAACAATAACAATAATAACAATAACAATAACAATAACAATAACAATAACAATAACAATAACAATAACAATAACAATAACAATAACAATAACAATAACAATAACAATAATAATAATAATAATAATAATAATAATAATAATAATAATAATAATAATAATAATAATAATAATAATAATAATAATAATAATAATAATAATAATAATAATAATAATCATAATAATAATAATAATAATAATAATCATAATAATAATAATAATCATAATAATAATAATCATAATAATAATCATAATAATAATCATAATCATAATCATAATCATAATCATAATAATAATAATCATAATAACAATAATCATAATAACAATAATCATAATAACAATAATCATAATAACAATAATAATAATAATCATAATAATAATAATCATAATAATAATAATAATAATAATAATAATAATAATAATAATAATAATAATAATAATAATAATAATAATAATAATAATAATAATAATAATAATAATAATAATAATAATAATAATAATAATAATAATAATAATAATAATAATAATAATAATAATAATAATAATAATAATAATAATAATAATAATAATAATAATAATAATAATAATAATAATAATAATAATAATAATAATAATAATAATAATAATAATAATAATAATAATAATAATAATAATAATAATAATAATAATAGTAATAATAATAATAGTAATAATAATAATAGTAATAGTAATAATAGTAGTAATAGTAATAATAGTAGTAATAGTAATAATAGTAGTAATAGTAATAATAGTAGTAATAGTAATAATAGTAGTAATAGTAATAATAGTAGTAATAGTAATAATAGTAGTAATAGTAATAATAGTAATAGTAATAATAGTAATAGTAATAATAGTAATAGTAATAATAGTAATAGTAATATTAGTAATAGTAATAATAGTAATAGTAATAATAGTAATAGTAATAATAGTAATAGTAATAATAGTAATAGTAATAATAGTAATAGTAATAATAGTAATAGTAATAATAGTAATAGTAATAATAGTAATAGTAATAATAGTAATAATAATAATAGTAATAGTAATAATAGTAATAATAATAATAATAGTAATAATAATAATAGTAATAATAATAGTAATAATAATAGTAATAACACTATAATAACTTTTAAAATATAGCAATACCCTCAAAGTGTAACCCATATATATACTTTTGCATACATACGAAGTATTTGTAATAAATCAGAATATAAATACAAATACAAATCAATTTTTTGCTTCAAATGTTTTTCAAATACAATTCAAATAATTATGTATTCGATTTGAAGAATAAAAATAGAATTGTTTGACTTTGATATATACAATTATCAACTTAATTCACACATTATATGTATAATAATTTCTAATATGTGTGAGTTAGTGTTTATTTCAAAAAGTTTAAAATAGATTTATATTTATTAATAATAAAATTAATTCACTTTAGAATATTGTGCACCATCCAAAAATGCATCGATCCATTTAAATTCTAAAAACACATATTGAGTCATAACATGCATTTACAACATAAAAAATACAGTGTATGAGAAAAGTTATTTTAGAGAGATATTTGACTAATATTTAATCTATGCTCAAATCGATTCGATATTCGTATATGATTTGTTAACTATTCGTGTTGTTAAACAAATACAAATACAAATTGAAATTAATATTCGTTTCATATTTGAATTCGAATTCATGTTCGAAAAAATTAAACAAATACAAATACAAAATCTCATTATTCGACTCGATTCGTTTACAACCCTACATGTATCTGAAGATTTCAATTTTCAAATCATAGATAAATAGAAACGACAGCATTTTTTATATTATTATGAATTTGAAAACATATGCATCGTGTAAATATTAATATTTGAAGTTTTGAACCAATCAGGTTCTTACTATAACAACGGTCTAAAGTAGAATTCAATGATACATTCAAATTTCAAATAATTCTTTTTTGGCTGATATTAATAATCAATTACAACGTAATACTTAATTATACATAGTTAAGTACAACATAGTTAGTCATAATAAGTGGAAAAGGGGATGCACTTGTGACTTGCCATCAAATTATTCACTCTCCATTCGAAAATCCATAGATGCAATTTTCAGCTTTTTTGTCCCAGCCCCCTCCCCTAGGGTTAAAAAACAACAGATTCTTGGAATGGAAACCAATCATAATTAGTTAGTCATAACAACTGACTAACTAATATATTTGGAATAGAAAAATAGATTAAACACAAACAGAACAAGAAGAGGGTGTAGAGCGTGTTTACATACAAAGATATGAAAATCAACCACACAATCCAGTTCAACTACATTCTCAAATAAACTCCTCACCAGTCACATGGTTTATACAGTTCAAATAATCTCGTGGGATAAGCTGAGCTACTTAGTCTTGACAAGTGGGTCCCACATGCAGTAAAAAGGCAGGTAATCCGGGGATAATCACACTACAGGCTTCTCCGGAATTTTGTTTAAAGTGTTGCCATCAGTAAGATGGTCTCTCTCCAAACAGCTGAAAGAAGGCTAACCAAGAGTCATGCAAATTTTACAAAGAAAAAATGGAGCTCAAAGTCAGCTGGAATCTCAAACAACCATATTAACATGGTAGACCTTGGAACCACAATGATGATAAGGAGGAGCTCAAAGTCAACTTCCTGATTCATGTGCTCTCTCCAAGGCATGAGGATTTGTAGGTGGTGGTCATTTGCACATAGAATAACTGAATAAGACACTGCGTATTCTTTACCTAGCCACTGTGAAAAATGTTATGCCGCCACTCACAAGCATGGAGGTGCTTATTTAACCCTATACCATCCTCTTGGTTTTCAGTCTGATCATGACAAGCAGTACAGAGGTTTTCCAGACAAAATGTTTCTTCATAGGGACCATCACTGATGCACTTGCCACACTGAACACACCTGGGAATGCAAAGAGTGCAGGCCCGGCACCCTGGACTTGAAGGGTCTTTAACTTGACAGCCCTCAGATGGACAGTCGTAAACCATCCGAATTTTATCACACCTTGGGCATGCCTCAATATCAATAGGGCGTTCATCATCACACAAGCGATAAATACTCCCACTTAAATAGAAATGCGGCTTTTGATCACTTTGCACCTTCAGGAACTTCGTACCTAGTAATGACTTCAAACATTCATAATGTTCATGAGTCGCACCATAGAGGCCTCCAATTCTCAAGTGCCTTATACCACTACCCTTCTTAGAGTTAAAAGCCTTCAAAATGTTCAAAATGCCATCAATACTTAGTCTTGTGCATCCAGGAACACAGAGCTGCAGGAAGGAAACACTAATATCGTTATAAACTCAATAAATACTCAACCTACGTTTACTATACAACTGATTTCAACATTATATCTTGACAGGGTCCACACAAGAAAATAAGAGAGTGGTGAAAGGAGAGATATCCTGTAAAACGAGCAGAGTTGCTCCAAAGGTAAGCCCAGAAATGTAAAAATATCGATAAAAATGGAAAGATAAGTACTTTATACCATGGTAGTCGTGCTATTCTGTCCGCCAGTGTTGGTAGATATCAGAGAGTAAATTTGGGAAACTATAAATGTAGAGGTGTTTATTTTTGAAAAGTGGGCAATACTTTGGGACAGGACTAGAAAGGAAAGTAAGACTGAAAATGGGGCAGATGAAGTACTGACTAATACTACATACTTTATTCTTGACAACACTTCATAGCTGATAATCGCAAAAAATTACTCTAAGTCACTAGCAAGACATAGAATTATTTTCCAAGCTAAGAGTTGATCATATAAACTCATGCTTTTACAAAAAATTAAGACCAATCCCAAATTTAAAAGATAGGTAGTCCATCATTTACTGAACATTTAAAATGCTTAATAGCTGGTCAAGTGGGGGGAAATCTCTGTAGCATAGTGTAGTTCATACAATACCAGCCTCACCTCAAATAAAGGGAATCTGAGACAACAAAGATAACTAAACTAGAGTGAACAAATAGCCATCACACCGAGCACAATAGATCTATCCAAATGATTGGGGTGAAATGCATAAATGGTACTTAACCATTGATATTATTGAATTTTAGTACATTAGCTTTTAAATGTGTCAAATCAGTACCATAACTATACATAAATGTTTCGATTGGCAATATTATTCAAATTTGCGGTCAAAAAATCCTACATGGTGATCAAAATTCCATGTGTACAGTCCACCCTACACTGATGACATGGACATAAGTAAGGTGAAGTGGACTTTACGCATCGAATTCCGGCCGCCACGTATGATTTTTTGGTCAGAAATTTGAATAATATTATCAATTGGTACATTTATGAAATGTTGTTAAGATCGCGAGTTGACTCGCAAGATCGTCTGATCTTACGAGTAGAAGGTGGTCTGATCTTACGAGTAGAAGGTGGACTGATCTTACGAGTAGAAGGTGGAGGGGCGATCTGGATCGTACCTAGGATCGGAAATCACATCAGGATCGCAGGATCGACGAGTTAGATCGTAAAATCGCAGAAACGGCGAATTGTGTCAATCTGCGTCGAATACGAGAGTAAAGAAAGAAATGGGGCTCATGATCGGAAACAACACCCCAAACAATTCGAGTTTTAAAGAACGCAATGAGTTACGAAGCCCCCCATGCGTCACCTGGATACCTGCGAACGGCCAAACACTTTCTTCAGTTTTGCAGGTCTGCACTTCTCATCTGCTGAGTTTTGAAATAGTTCGAAACTCAGAATCATTCAGTAAAAGGCTATCGCCTTGTTCATTTCTGCAGGTCTGCACTTCTCATCTTCTTCCTGGAAACACAGCTTTGATTCCGTGATAATCATCCATCTATTCTTCGTCCCCTGTAATATCTGCTAGTCCACTATATATCTACTCTTCTGTGCTTTTCTCATGACATCTCTGTCTTATCTCATTCACTTATCTGATTTGATTTACTTATCAGACCTACTCTCGTGGACATCACATAATGATATGACAAAAAGTGGTTCTGACACGGTGAATAAAAAGCTTGTTGTGCTTTTGTTCAAATATCTCATTTTAAATTTATCAATTTTTCATTTTTATATTTTTGAAAGTTAGACATTATTAATATTAGTATTAATCTGGTGAATAAATAGAGTTTTAAATTTATATATATACATATAAATACATATATATCTTATATCTATATATATGCATGGTTGCTTGGATTCTAGATCTTACGATCCGAGTTACAATCCCCAAGTTACGATCTCCTAGACCCTTCCGATCCGTGCTAGGATCTCAAGTTTAACAACCTTGCATTTATGCATAGTTATGGTACTGATTTGATTCATTTAAAAGTTAAGGTAACAAAACACAACAATGTCAATAGTTAAGGTACCATTTATACAATTCACCCAAATGATTGATATTTCTCAGAGCATGATATGAACATAGCAATTGAAGTACAAGTGGAAAAAACAAATTAAAAGACGAAAGAGATATATACCATTGTCAGGTGTGGATTAGCTTCAATGACATGCCTCAGTCCATCATCTGTGATCTTAGTACACTGAACCAAACTTAGGCATCGCACATTACCTCGAGCCCTGCTAGACAGAAGCTGGAGAACATCATCAGTGATCTTATCACTTAAGGACTTATCAATGTGAATGCTCCACCACAGTAATGGATCAGACTTAACAGAGGAACACAATGATGTGCAAGCCATTTGAACTGATAACAGATCCTTTATTTCAAGATAACCAAGAACATGATCCCAAACGCCATGGGGGACTTCTCCATTGTCATCAGAACAGCATGCCAAACCGTCCTCTTCCGGAGTACCATTAATATAGTCATTGTTAGAGCCTACAATATCTCTTGTACAGCAACCAGAAATCGTATCAAAGGTGGGCACCAATACATCTCCATTAGCTTTCTCGGGAGATTGGTTCATAGAACTACATATATTCAACGTGTTATGAGACTGAACATTGCTTGGTAACTGCTGGAGTTGCATAGCACTGTTCCAGATCAAATCCAAGCCAGTAAGAAAACTATAATCCTCTTTAATCGGGCCAACAATATCTTTCTGGAATCCTCCACGATCTATTTCCGAGTCATTAAGCAAACCACTGAGTGCTGTAAAAGTGTCTCTTAAAGCCCTCTCAAATGGACAGGTGCTCATTCCCATCTCAAATGGGTCAGAAGGCAGAAGGTCAGCAACATCTATGTGAGATGGGAATATGGGTCTGTGAGAATAGTTCAAGGCCATTTTCAAATCTATTCAGAACCCTAGATGTTTGTTCTACTTTTCTAATTAAACCGAAAAGAAACGTCAGGAACAATGATAGAGTAAATTTGCAGGTCTTTTGTTGGGATCTCCGTCTTTTCGATCTTTTATTTTTCTATGTGCAAGAATGCAAGATTCAACAGGAAAACTCTCAATTTCGGGTGACAATAAAAACGCACCTAATAAATGTTAGAGTTTCTCGTGACGAATTCAAAATCTCTCAGAATTGGAATCACCTTGTTTTTCCACAGAGAGAATCAGCTATACGACAAGTCGAATTAATATCTCCCCCTCTACAGATGAAATATATTTATCGACAAATGGAGAGTAACTATAAAATACAAAATCTGAAAAGGAAGGAAGCTGGAACGATGTACGATAAGCTGAAACCCTAATTCAAGATTAAGAAAAGGAATCGGATGTCTTTCCCTTAAAAGCGATCCGAAGATTCGACATATCTGAATTGGCCCCGGATCAATCTGAAGATTTGAGATCTGCCATCGCTCATAGGTCGATGAGTTTCTTCAAGAGAACGATATCGCAGAAGAGAGAAAATATAGTGTAGGGAGAGAGTGAATATTGGGAATTGGAAGGGCGGGGTTAAAAATATGGAGATTTGAGAAAGACTCGGAAATGCGTGTGGGGCGAAAATTTGCCGGGTGCCGTGGCGGTAAACTCGTGGCGGGAACAGAGATGCAGGAGAATATATCATATTGCCTTTCGTTAAGGGTTAAATAAGTCCTTATATAAAGGGTCAAATAAACTCTCAAATTTACATATAAAAAAAATTTACATATAAAAAAAATTGATAAAAAGGGTCAAATTAAGAATATATCATATTACCTTACGTTAAGGGTTAAATAAGTCCTTATATATAAGACTTTGTCCGGCCGTCATCATTTGGGGTAGTTCTCGATGAAATTTTTTTATGAAAGTTTTGGATAATCTTATTAATTAAGTCTAGTTTACTCATACCAAATTTAAGCTAACAATTCAATCGGGAAGGCATTCAAATGAATTCTTAAAGATAATTGCGCTTCCCAATTGAATGTCTTCTCAATTGAAATTTTAGTTTAAATTTGGTATGAGTAAACTAGACTTAATGAATAAGATGCTTAAAAATTTTCATCAAAAATTTCCACCTGAAACCGCCCCAAATGGCGACAGCCGGACAAAGTCTCTTATATAAGACTTATTTGATCTTTTTAGGTAAGTTTGATGGTGACCCTTTTTCCTTTCTTTTTCTTTTTTATGGGTTTTACATTAGTAATTATTACTGTATAATTTTAATTTTTGAAAGATATTGTTAATCATACTTGCCAAAAGAATCGCTGTTTGCATTTAATTAGAATGATGGTTTGACTTTTTTGGTATGGTGATTAACAATATTTTTGTTAACCATATTTAGAACAATATCTGGAATAAAATTAAACAAATCTTACCTAATCAATAAACAACTATGAGTCTATCATTATATTAAGTAGTTGTTCTATTCATCTTGGAGTTGTAAACGAGTTAAGTCAAGCATGAACATGCAGAGCTCGAGTTCGGCTTAATTCAGTAACACTCGTGGGTTTGAGCTCGGGCATGTCAATCTTTACAAACGAGACTCGTATTCGGTTCGATGGGCCTTTGATGTTTGAATTGAGCGCTCAATAAGCTCAAAGAATATGCTCGACTATAAAAATTTAGGTGGTGCTCGTTAATAAGCTCGTGCTCGATCAGTTATTAATCATATTAAAACCTACTAGTATATTTCTGAGTGTTCGATAAGGTTGAGCTCAATTCAAGCTCGGGGCATGTCAATCTTATACCTGTATTTCTGGGTGTTCGATAAGAATGAGCTCAATTCCAACCGAATATTACAATGCTCGAGTACAGCTTGCTTAAGTATTCAAACTTAAAACTCAACTCGCGCTCGAGTTCGAAGCTCATTAAGCTCGGTCATCAGTTTGAAATCTAGCTCGAACTTGATAAGTTCGAAAAAAATCTTGATTCGTTTTTTAGGGGGGGAAGGTTGATTCGTTAACGGCCATAGTTTGTCTTATTTATTATTATTTTTTAAGTTCTTATTCTAAAGGATGTGTGGCACTAAAAAGGAATTTTCTAAAATATAATTTAAATACCTGGTATGCAAATACGTATTCTGACCAACCAAAATTGAAAAATAATATTGTTAGCTATTTTTTATTGATTTAATTATGATTGGGCTAAGTTGTGCACATTTAGTAAATAATTACAATATAAAAATTGGAGTGAACTAGATTAAATGTATGACTAACTAGGATATTTGGGATCAATTATAATTAATAAAATTATGGCTAGTATATTTATTTGTAATTGAGCCGGTCAACAGATATTTGAAATTAAATAAGTAAATAAGGGAAATAATTCTAAAACAAATATATGGACAACCTAGGTCAAATATAGACCCAAAATATAATTATAAACGGTTAGTAATTTTTAAAAGTGATGCTTAAGTTATTAAATTTAATTGGATCATATAAAACTAGTTATGTAATGAAATAAGAAAATATTGATATTAATGGTGAAGTAAATAAATCACTTAGATTGAAAATAATATTCTGAACTAAAAATAATGTGTGAAATAAAATAGGAAAAATAAAATAAAGTTGGGTTAGTGATTAGCATAAATTAATGACTATATTTGGACTTAATAAATAGCTTATTGAATTAGTGAACTAATTAAAATAGTTTAATTAAAATAATAATTATCATGCTTGATGATTAGGGATCCGGACTTCATATGAATTATTGGACTACTTTTAGTGAATTAAATATAAATTAATTAATTAAGTGATGTGGACTTGATAATTTAGTATATTAAAATTATTTGACCTTAGCTTATTGGACCAGTTTAGTTAAATCAATAAGTTTAATGACTAAATTAGTTAAATTATGATCTTAGTAATATAGTTAGACTATTAAGTACAATTAGAAAATTAATATTTGATTATTGGACTGAATTGAATTAGATTAATATATTTAGCAATATTAATATAATCAAACTAATGTAGTTAATGGGGTTAGTTTAATTAAATTAGTTAATCCAATAAAAAAGAATTTTATCAATTGGGACCTAAAAGATAGATGAATTATCAATCCGAGACTTGAAAGATGAAATGTGTTGGCATAGGATCCGAATGATTGAAAACTATCAATCTATGAGCTAAAATTTCATATGATTTGATTTATTTAATTTTTTATTCATTGCATTGCTAATTTTTTATGAATCTTTCTTCACAACAGTTGTTAGTTTAATAAAGATAAATAATATTTTAAAATTTTAAAATTAAAAAAATGACAACTTAGGTCCTAGATTGATAGTTTTCAATCATTCCAACCATGTACCGAACATTTAATCTTTCAGGTCTTGGATTGATAGCTCTTCTATCTTTTAGGTCATTGATCGATAAAATTCCATAAAAAAAGTGGATTCAATTGGTTAATGTAATTAAGTTAGCTAAATATAAATAAAATATTGAACTATTTAAAGTTTTTATTGAGATTAGATCATCATTAACTATTGGTATTTCAAATTATTACTTACACGAGATTATTAAGAGGTAGTGCGAGATTATTCGGGGCCAACAAAATTGTTGACGGATGGGCATTTTTGTCTTTTCGTATGGGGTTGGGTGCAAAAACAAAGTTTTTTAAAAAACAGGGTGCAAAAGTCCAATTTACACAATAAAATGGGGTGCAAACTCAAATTACCCCAATTATTAATTATAAGTTAAATTATGTAAACTGAATTTTGGACTAAAATTAGTCATTTAATTAGAATTAATTAAATTATTATATAGTTAAAGTAATTAGACTAGTTAACTAATTGATCAAATAAATTATAAGTAAATTATGAAAAAGATTAGTATTATTAAAGTAAAGATTAAGGATGGACTAGAAGTCAACATATAGTAAGATTTATGAACTATTTTAATAGTAGATTTTAAATAGAGTTATGAAACTAAAAATAATTAAAGGTTGGATATATAAGAAATTAACAAAATAATATAATAGTTATTGATTTACAAATTTTATAAATATTAGAAGGAGAATCGAGTGAAGATCAAGCTAGAGGTTTTATTAAGGAGATTATCGCAATTTAAGGTAAGTTATATGTCAACAAAAAATGTTTTATCTTGTACTTATATGTATGCAATATTTGAACTACGTGAAGTATTCATGAATCGAAAATGCTTTTATTAAAGAATATTGGTGGATTGATATTTATTACACATGATATTTTTGGAAAGTGTAAAAAGAATGATTTTTGTGGAAAACTCAAAGTTTTTCGTAATATATTATTGCGTTTCGAGAGAAACACGGGGTGTGGGTGGTTAGGGCTACTACTACTTTTGGTTGAATTATTTGGGTCAGTAATTCATCTAGTAATGACATGCTCCGATGAACATCCCGGACTTTTATTTGAGGATCAAAGGTCCTTTGGTGGTCATAGTAGTAGTTACCTAATATATTTATGGACAAAGTCCTTTGTGAGTAGGTGATATAAGACATCCTGCCTATTTGAGTTTCTTACTTCTCGGAGGGCTTAGATCCCCTTTTATAGGATGTGCACACTTAAGGTAGAAATTCAGTTTACAATTGGTGGTCGGTGGGAGCCAGAATTCCGGGGTGGGTTGTAGATAACAACGACTCATAGGGCTCGAGGAATCTTGAGTTTTTCACACTCTTAAAAGAAATCTAAAGTATTTCTTTTGGATGATTTGAGAATGACAATATCTATTGTAGAAATTATTTTGAGACATTAAATCATTTTGGAAATATGAGGGTGCTTTTCTATATATGCATATACAAAAACCCATTTTTCAAATGATATATTTTACGCAATTGGGTGGAATCTCACTTAGCTCTAAAACTAATTTTTGTTTCTTTTGTCTTCTTTTCCTTGCTTTATTGTATAGGTGATTATGATTATAAAGATTGATGTAATTGATGCCCGAGTGTTTCGCTAATTGCACACGTTTGATTAATTATCGTTGTTTGAATATGTAATTCAAAAACTTTATCCTAAGGTCTATTTGACTACTATTTGAACTAATGGTGGATAGCTTGTGCACTCAATCATGTGATGGTGACACACATGTTTTCCATTAAAGACTTTCGTCGTACTCTATATATTTTTCATACTCCATAATAAAGATGATTTCACTTCAAAATGTGATTTTACTTGGTTGGGAAAAATGGGGGTGTTACACATATTGAGGCAACAACATGAAGATATGTATTCTACACAATGGTTCAATGAGAAATAGGTTTCAAAGAGAAAAAGGTGCAACCAGTGCATGCACTTCAACTACTTTTGTCAATTCCAATGTTTCATTTGTCTTTTGTTCATGATACAATTGTAGAATAGTATTTATCAATGCACTAGAGAGACTGTAGCAGTTAGAAGCCTTACTTAATACTTGATACTGCTCATGAAATTTATAAGTGATTACTTACTTAATATTTAATGTTGCTTATATAAAACAGTTTAACCGTTGAATTCAATAGGCATTGATGCATTATGAACTTACTAACTGCAAATTGTAACATGTCTATGTGTGATAGGAAGTCTGAGAACGTTCTTGATGTGCTTGCATCTGTAGAACAAATATAAAGAAGCATTAGATTAATATTAAAATT